TTTTTCACAAGTCCTTCACATCTTGTTGGCTAGAAATGGGTACACACCCATCTCTAAACCAATCATAGACAATGAAATGGGACCACTGGGATTTATTGAGACCAATCAGGATTTGCCTCTGGATCTGAGACTTATGTGGGAGGAGTTATACCCGAACAGAAAATATTGGGCCTCTGCAGGCAGTGAAAGGAAAGAGGATGTTGGTTAGGTAATCAACAGTACCTGCTATCGTGTGAAACGGTGAGCCATGGAGAGGACTTTAAGCCATAAAAGCTAAAGTTTTTGAGCTTGTAAGTTTGACCACGGGAAGTTCTTTTGTTAATTTGTTTCTACACAAAGAGGAGGTGAGGATGGGGGGAGATCTTTTTTAGTGCGTAACTCCTAGATTGTAGACTTTCACTTGACCCCCAGTCTACTTTCTTCATCTGTGTTGAACACATCCAACCTCACCATTCTGTCTGAACAAAGGTCCTACTTACCTCTCATTTTCACTAATTCCTTACTCTTGCCCCTAGCTCCTCTTCAGTCTCACTGTAATGAGATGGCTCTGCCTGGTTCATTGAGAAGACCAAAATCATAAACCTCAACCCGCCCTTGGCATGAGTGGTTTATATGTCTTCTCTCCTATTCTTCCATTTCCTTTAAAGCTCTCCCTTTTGAGATGTCCTGGGGAGTTCCCATAGAGTAAATACTCAAAAAGTGTTTACTGAATGAATATATTTATTCCATCCCTTCTCCCACCTTTTTTTCAGTCTCTATCTCTATGTGGGTTCAAAAAGGTTTCACACATACCTTTGATCTTCTTGTTGATTCTTAGAACAAATGATCTGTAGACGTTGATTTTATTTGTTTCCTATTTTAAAAATATCTTTATTGAAGTATAACATATACTTCAATATATATATATTCATAAAATTCACCTGCTTTTAAGTGTACAAATCAATGATTTTTCAGTGAATTTACAGAATTGTGCAAACATCACACAATTCACTTTAGAGTGTTTCCATCACCTCAAAAATATCTCTCATGCCCATTTGCAGTCAATCCCCCTTCCTCAGTCCCAGCCCCAGGCTACCACTAATTTGCTCTCTGTCTCTATAGAGTTAATTTTTTGGGCTATTTTATATAAGTGGATCATACGATATGTAGTCTTTTGTGTCTGGCTTCTTTTACTTAGTAAAATGTTTTATTGCCGAATAGTGTTCTAGTGTATGGATGTTACTCATTTTGTTTCCCCATTTTCATTTTGTTTCATTTTGTTTGATGGATACTTGCAGTGTTTCCACTTTTAGGCTATTATGAATAATACTGTTATGAACATTCAAGTATATGTCTTAGGATAGACAAACGTTTTCACTTCTCTTGTGTAGATTCCTGGGTAGAATTGCTGGGTAGGATAATAAGTTTATGTGTAACTTTTTAAGAATCCGACAAACTTTTTTCCCAAAGTTTTCCAAAGTGGTTGTACCATTTTACATTCCTACCAGCAATATATGAGCATTCCAATTTCTCCACATCCTAACCCTTGTTATCTTTTTAAATTATAGACATTCTAGTAGGTATGTAGTAGTATCTCATTGTAGTTCTAATTTGCATTTCCCTAATAGCTGATAATATTGAGCATCTTTTCATGTGCTTATTAATCATTTGCATGTCTTTGGTGAAATGTCTGCAAATCTTTTGCTCATTTTTAAATTGGGTTCGTTCTCTTCATATTATTGATTTGTAATAGTTCTTTGTATATACTGGATACAAATTCTTTTTCAGATATATATCCGCAGATATTTTCTCACTATGGATTATCTTTTTATGTTCTCAATGTTGTCTTTGAAGTACAAAATTTAAATATTTTGGTGAAGTCCAACATATCAGTTTTTTTCTTTTATAGATCATGATTTTAATTTCAATTCTAAGGCCTCTTTGCCTAACTCAAGTGTTATGGACTGAACGTCCTCCCAGAATTCATATGTTGAGGCCCTGAACCGCCGACATGATATTAGGAGGAAAGGCCTTTGGGAAGTAATTAGGTTTAGGTAAATCGTAAGGGTGGACTTCTCATGCATGGGATTAGTGCCCTTTAAAATCATGGGAGAGCTTGCCTGCTCTGTTCTGTTTTCCATAATGTGAGGATACTACAAAAGTTGAAAGTCTATAACCTGGAAGAGGTCTCTCACTAGAAACTGACCAGGCTGGCACCCTGATCTCGAACTTCCAGTCTCCAGAACTGTAAGAAATAAATTTCTGTTATTTATAAGCCACCTAGTTTATGGTATTTTGTTGTAGCAGCCTGAGCTAGGCAGCAAGATCATGAAAATTTTCTCCTTTATTTTCTTCTAAAAGTTGTGCAGTTTTAGCTTTATCATTTAGGACTCTGATTATTTCACTTTTTAAATATCCAATAATTCCTATCCTAATTGCTCCCTTCAAACTTCATTCTTGAATATTAACAGAGACCTAGTTGCCGAATCCAATGGCCTTTCCTTTCACCCACTACTCTTGTCCAAATATTAGATAGATGATTAAATACTTACGAAAAACTTTGTGAGCAAAATAACCACAAAAGTATAAGAGAGATAGATATGGTGAACCTCTCAAGACATATTTAAGGTGATCACTCACAGTACCTTGACATAGAGGGTACTTGATACAAACTTGCTTAATTGGTAGATAGAAAAGCCCCTTAGGTCAATTCTTGGGCTGACCTAGGGATTTATATACAATCTTTGGTTTAGAGTACAGTACACTAAGAGTTCTAAAATGAATTTCATTCCCAAGTTCACATGCAAACAAACCTACTCAGTTCTTAAGGATCCAACAGACTCAGGAGGTTCTTAAGAATCCAACAGACTCATGATAACCCAGGGCCAAACTGAATTTTCAAGACAGCTCTTAAAGTACTGAGCTTGTAGGCTGAGCATCCATTTCTATCTAGAACTGGATGAGAGCCAGATCTGCTCTGGGTGGGTGAGTGGCAGCAGAGGGGTGGGGTAGATTTATTTCACAACTAGATGAGATAAAATTTGATTAGATAATTAGCTAAAAAAAAAAAAAAGACAAAGTGATATCAAGTGTTTTGTTTTGTTTTTTTTTAATATGGCAAGGTCCTACAGATTGCAGAGAATGAAGCTGAAATGAGAAAGATAGGGGCAGAGGAAGAGAATAATTGATGAAGCAAGTCCAGAAAAGATGATGGAATCCGGAGTCCTCTAGGGAAACCAATTTCTCTGTAGAGTGAGAATTGAGGGAAGAAGATGAAGGGAGAATTTTCTCGTTTCATTTTTATACTCAGTATTTGTCTAAATTTTAAAAATAATGAATATTGGATATGTTTTAATTTTATAATGGAAAAAAATTTAAAAGAGCTCAGCAGAATTAACTTTGGACAAGATATATGGAGAAAAAACACCCCTACAACTGCTCAACTCACATGATCTCCACCTTCTGCTCTAGCTATATGTAGTCAGTACTTCTATCTTATATGCCAGTGTAGTTGCTTTGGTGGCTAAGTTGTTAACATCTCAAAGGCAAAAGCTGTGGGCCATTTTGCATCTTTAATTTAATGAACAAATGAGATGTGCGCAGTAAACGTAAAAAAAAACATGGATTGGGAAGTGTGTTGCAGATGGCATTAACATAATCAAAAGATAACTAATTTTGACACATACGGGAACTTAGCATATGATAAAAGATGCATTTCAAATCAAAAGAGGAAAAGATAGTTAATTCAATAGATAGTGGTATTGCATGGGAACCTGGAAAAAAGTAAAGTTGGAATTACACCTCACATTTTATACCAAAATGTGGTATAAAATTTTTTTTCTATGCAGAAAAAAAATCATAGGATTAAAAAAAGTATTGGAGTGAGAAATGCCTCTATATATGACACAAATGCAGAACCATAGAAAAAATACTGATCAATCTGACTTGAAAAATATCTGCCTGTAAAGAATATCATGAACAAGTTAAAAAAAAATAACAAGGTAGAAATATCTGCACTCATATCATAGACCAAGGACTATTTTCCTTAATAAAGAACTTTTTACAAATTAGTAAGGAGAAGACCAGTAAACCAATAGAAAAGTGAGCAAAGGACATGTTATTTCATTAAAAATACCTTTTATACTCAGTCTCACTCATAATAAAAGAAATGAGATCCCACTTTTAAGTTATAAAAAGGGCAAAGATCTACAAGTTTCTTAATGTTCTCTATTGATAAGTATGTGGGGAAAACAGGTACTCTCATGTATTGCTGACAGTTTAAGTTGGTACAACCTTTATGGTAAGTACTATGCCTTGGTAAAATATACTCCAACCTCATTTCCTACCATTTTTCTCTTGCTCAATCAGTATTAGCCACATTGGCCCCCTCACTCCCTCAAATATGCCAAGCACACTGCAGCTCCAGGGCCTATGCACTTATCTTTCTCCACTACCTCTGAAAGGCACATCAATTTTTCCTTACCTCCTTCAGGCCTTTGTTCAAATGTCACCTCTTTAAGTGAGGCCTTCTCTGATAACCCTATCAAAATCAGTGGCTCCCAACCCCTCCATAGTTCTCTTTTTACACAATTGTTAATTCTAAGCACTTACCATATGACATTACTGTATGCATTTAGGTTTGTCTCTCCTCTCCAACCAGACTGTAAACCTTGTAAAGGAAAGGACTTTGCTGTATATACTGCTGCATCCCCAGCATACAAATGAATGAATGAACCTCTTCGGAGGAGAACATAGCAATATCCAAGTTTAGAATGCACATACCCAGCAATTACCCTCTAGGCATTATTTATAGTTGTGCACATGTGCAAAATAGAGAATATACAAAGTTATTTGCTGTGGCATTATTTGTAATAGTGAAAGGGGAAAACAAACTGAGGTCAATTTTTAAAATATATCATCTACATCTATATAAGGGAATACTATGCAGATATGAAAGGATCTCCAATGCTGAAAATTCTTTTGCTACCTTTGGCAAATATACATTTGAGACATGACTATCATCACTGTAAGAATGATCCCTTTAATGGGGCTTTTAGTGGTAAAGAGAGTAGGGATAGACAGATGGGAAAAATAACTCATAGTTTTATTTAATGAGTATTAATTTCCTTGCAGAAAACACAGGATTTCTACCAATTAAATAATAATCTAATAAGAAGAAAGATGTATCTATACATACATAATCTTGTCCAATAAAGGTCTTCTCTTTGTAGATTCGAACTCATGAATAGGCCTAAACTGGCAGTACCTACTGTTTATTATGGGTAGATTTCCCATTTTACAAACAAACCTCTCACTTATGGGAAGAGGTTTAGGGGTTTAGAATGTCTTTGGTTTAAATTTCCTGATACCAGAGGGGTAGAATTCCCCAGCTGTCCATCAAATGACATGCACTTGCAGCTCTGGGACACTCTGTGGGGGTACTCTTCTATTCCAGAGTTATATATAAAACAGAGTTAAATACATATAAAGACATAAAGCACACAGGATAATCCCCTGGTAACCATATATGCCTTCCAATCTTACCAAACTATAATTTACTTACTGTTCCTCAATTTAAATGTTCTAATTCCTATCTCTTTACTATCCTTCCCTTTTTTTCCCCCCAGTTTCTCTCATCTGGAATTCTATATAAGCTTCTAGCTAAATACAACCATTTGAAGGGCCAGGCAAAATCTCATCTCACCATTAAAGGACAAAGTATGCTCTGATTATTCCATTCTATAGTAATCTACGCTCTGCTTTCTTTAGCTTTTAGTAAGAACTTGGCTTTAATCTTTTTTGCTGCCTAATACTGTTAATTAGCTTTCCACAAGTTTTTGACTTATCTGCCAATTAGATTGTAAGCTCCTTAAAGGCAGATTCCTATATTCTGTTTTTTCTATATTTCTTGTGCACCTACATAGTAGATGCCCTACACGTCCTAGTTTTGAAAAGTAACACGGTCAATCCAAATATGACCCAACATGTACATTTAGTGTTCTTTACAGATTTTTCTAAACCAATCTATGTTCTCTGTATAAACATGGATTTTCTGCTAGCCCAATAGTTTTTTTTTGTTTTTGGTATCAGAACTCGTCAGCTGACTCTGTGTCCCAGCCACAGGACTGCAGTTGTTCATCCTGTGGGAACTCAACTTCAATGTCATAAACAAAATTTGGATCATCCTTCTTCTTCTGATTTTTCTCAAAAAGTTCATCCATGATGCTCTTCTTTTTGGCAAGTTCCTTGTCATCTAGTTTGTTCAGGTCTTCCTCAGGATCAATGGTTGTTTCCTTTCGAATTTGTTCCATTGTTTCTGCCAAACTCTGCCCCGACAAGTAACCTCGTAAAAAACTGAACAACTTCTCTAGTTGCCTCAGGGACACTTGTTCCAGGTAACTCTTGTGTCGTGGATTATTCTTTAATTGTTCAGCAGCTCTGTTGCAATCTACGAGGGAGAAACAAAACTATATACCACACACAACATACACACCACAATGTTTTGGTGCACCACAAACTACTGAAAGCATTATCTGCCATTATAGTCAAGTAGTTAAATGGCTTTTTTGGAATGAGTTATTCTGGAGAACTATTCCTTTATATAGAGCTTTGACTGTGGTGGGAGGAGGGATGTATTTTTGAGTTCCTTAACTTAAAATCATTTTGAGGCGATATTAAACACTTTCAACTGGAGAAAATGTAATATTACAGCTTTAGATATTAGTATTTGTATTAAGAAAATATCAAGACTACAAATAGAAAACATTCGGAGGGAAAGAAGGGAATTAATATTATTGAATAATGCTATCTCATTTAACCCACACTGCAATTCTGAAAGAGTGGGATTATCAATTCCTTTTTACAGATTAGGAAACTGAGGCTCACTGTGAGTAAGTAACTTAACCAGGGTCACCCATCTACCTTGAACTTAGGTTTGTATAACTCTGAAGGCCATGTCATGCTATTACATAAGACTCAAATAGTTCTTATTAAGTGATTTAGAGAATTTTTAAGAAAAGAGGCAAGATAAAACATGAGGTACCTGAAAACTTTGAAAAGTTTCGAACCGGCATGATGCGCTGGCGACTTTTCCCCTTCATTTCATTCTCATAGATTAGGATAATAGCTGGAGGCTGGAACCTAATTCCACATTTCTTGGCAGTACACATCATTTTCACATACACTTCAGGGTAAATCAGAGGAAATCTGTACACACATTATGTGACTAACACATAATGACTTCCTGCAAAAAGGGAGAGGGAATTAAGTGTTGGGATATATCGCACTCCTCCCCAGCAGATCTGTTTCTAGTCCAGTTCTAGAGATGTATGCTCAGTCTATCAGTTCAATATTTCCAGAGCTATCCTAAAAGTTCAGTTCAGCCCTAGGTTCTCCTTGTATTGTTCAATCCCTGATTCATTGAGGGGTGTAAGTTTGTTTACACGAGCCTAGAAATGCAGTTCAGTTTGGATCTCTTAGTATACTGTACTCTTAACCAAAGATGAATCTGTTTATGAAAGGTTTATGAACCTGTGAGTCAGCCCAAGAATCGACTTCCAGGATCTTTTTTATTTACCAATTTAACAAGTATGTACAAGCACCCTCTGTGTCAGGGTACTGAGTTTTTCAACTTTAAACATTATGTCCTGAGAGGTTCACCAGACCAGATTGGTCTCCTTTGTACTTTCCCAATCAGTTTACCCACCAAGTTTTTTGTAATTACTCATTTAATCATTTATCTTCTCTTCTATTTTATATGCTCTATGTGCACAGGGAACATATCCACTGTTTACCACAACATCCCAGCACAATACCTGGAATGTAGTAGGTATTCCATACATACTCGTTTAATTCAGTGTATTAGAACACAGCGTCTGTATATTCTCTAAGTTTTTAGAGTCTAGAAGTCTGATCAAAAAGGTAGACCAATACAGAATCACCCTCTCCTATCCAAGGCAATAAAGTTTACATGACTTTTAGTTTAACCTGTCTCATTATTTTTTTTTCAGTTACAAGAAACACAGCTATATTGTAGGCTAATACTTTATATTCCCTCTTCCCTCCCCTGCTCCCAATGCCAAAGTAACTGAATTATAGGGACTGCTTTAGATGTGACTATATATTATTCTCTGGAAGATTTGCAAATATTAAGGAATCTAAAAGTAAAGCAGCATAGGGTAATGATATCTTCATAAATTCAGTTCTGTTAGCAAATCTCTATAGGAACATGTTATCTAATACATGTTCACTATAGAAAACTGGGAGTAGAGGTGGGACAGGGGTAGGAAGGAACATAAAATAATCACCTTTGATACCTTCTAGTCTTTTTCCTAGGCATATAGTTTTATTTTTTAAAATTATAGTTATTTTTTTTATATTATACAGTTTCCTGCCTTTTAAACAACCTACGTGATTTTGTCATAAAATGTTCTTCTAAAATACAAATTTTTATATGACTGCCAAATGTTTATACTATGGATATACCACATTCTATATTATTCACCTCTTATCGTTGGATGTAAACATTTTTACTCTTAGGAAATTAATCATTTATAAAGAACTGCTTTTTCAAATTTCTGTGTTCTGCTTCTGACCTGATGCAATAATCTGATCCCACCCCTTCTCTTCTGCTTCTCCCCCTTCGCCACCTTCTTCTTTTAACAAATATTGGGGCTGGATGAAAAAGGTGAAGGGATTAAGAAGTACTAATTGGTAGTTACAAAACAGTCATGGAGATGTAAAGTACAGCATCGGGAATATAATCAATAATATTGTAGTAACTATGTATGGTGTTAGGTGGGTACTAGAATTATGGAGGCAATCACTTCGTAAAGTATATAAATGTCTAACCACTATGCTGTACACTATGCTGAAACTAATATAATATTGAATGTCGACTGTAATTGAAAAATTAAAAAAATAAAAAATAAAAATTTAGACTTGCAAAACAAAAATATTAAAACAAAACAAGACAACAAATACTACTCCCAGTTCGCCTCAATAAAAATTTGGTCTATTAGCAAACTTTCTAAGAGATCCTACTGATCACAATATAAATTCCACACTCAAGCAAATGGTTGTACTTATGAAGGGTGTGTGCAATTGATACTAAATAATATATTTGTTTGACAAGACATTTTTATTTTTTAAATTAAACTTTTATTTTTACTGTTTGTATTCTGTTTAAAGTGTAAAATAATTCTACTTATTTATAAGTAGCTTATAATAAATAACTATTGTCCTCTGCCCTCCCCTCTCCATAGGCTACCAGTTTTAATTCTTTCAACCATTTCTTCTAAAATTTATCTCCACATTTCTTAATAGCAAGCTGCTACTTTCAGTTTTAGTATCTTCTGACATCTTTCCTCTTTGAGACATTTATTCTAGAGCCCTCCGTTTTGCTCCAATCGGCAATGGATATTCTCTAGGCCTACTTACAGATTCAACTCAATTCATGAAGACGGACGACACATTTATCCAACTCTTCTTCCTAGACATGAATACTTCCCCCCCCCCCCCCACCCGCCAGGGATCAGTTAATGCCATAATCTAGCCAAGCATCCTCCACAGCACCTAAAAGTGTACGGATTTCGCCAACGGGCAGACGATCATTTCCCTACTCACGTCCCCATTAGCGCAAGACTTTTTTACCCTTAGCGAAGTACTGAAAGTATATCTTCCCCGGCAGGCCAACGTCTACAACCTCCATGAGGGGGCTATTTCCACCCAACTGCAATGCACAGGGCAGCACTTTTGAGGCCGGGCGTCGCCTGGAGTTGCAGGAAGAGGCGACCGCCACAGGCCTGCAGACGTGACTGTGGATGATCTCTCTGGCAGGAGTCCCGAATCCACAAATACCTGGAAGTAGAGGTGGAGACCGGGAGCTGAGCCAACGGGCTCCCAGGGCAGCGTGCGGAGTTGAGGGTAGGGCAGGGGGCCCACGGAGGCGTTCCCACAGCAACAACCCTGGTGCACTCAGGGCGCTTGCGCCACTCCTCGCCCCGCCCCCGACTCGGAGGGCGTGGGGCGGAGCGACAAGGGGGCCCTGACGGCGCCCTCCCGCGACGTCGGAACTTTAGTGGGCCGGGGCTCTGGGGAGCCGGGGAACGGCGGGACCGAAAGCGTGCGCGCAGCGAGGTTTCCGTCCCGGTCACTAAATCTGTGGTAGCGCGCCCTAGGAGCGGCTGGAAGCGTACGCAGGCTCCTCCGTCCGCATTTCATCCAGGCGCGCTCTTCTCCGGCGCTCGTTTTCCGGCGTCCTGGCTGCCCGGGCCGTGGCCGTCCGAGTGGTGGCCTGGCTGCTTCTCTGGGAGGCAGCTGGGCTCACCTGCACACCCGTCGCAGCCCTCACTGCCTCCCCTGCGGTCGCCGGTAAAGAGAGGGGCGGGGTTGTGGGAGTGAGGGCGGGGTTTGAGGGCCGAGTGGGTGGGAGCCTGGCGGGACTCCCGGGTCCTCTGCCTTGCGCGGTTTGCAAAGGTACTTCATTGTACTCTGGCTCGCGACCCTAGAATTGTATGGTGAGCAAGAGGAGGTTAAAAACAAAGGCCACGTGGACTCACACACACACACACATACACACTCACTCACTCACTCACACTCTCTCTTTCTCTTTCTCCCCCTCCCTCTCTCTGTCTCTCTCTCGTTCTGTCTCTCTCTCTGTCCCCCCGCCCCCCAACTCCTCACGTTCCCTGCATAGCTCTGGCCGCTCCTGGGTCTCTGCAGAGTGGGGATTTGTGGTTCTGAGGCGAGACTGGCCACACTACTAAAATGAGGATGAAGCGTCTTGGGATGCATGAAGCTTCTAACCACCGAGGGGCCAACATGGCCTCAATGCCCCATGTGGAGTGAGAATCCCAATCCAGAATACAGGGACACCGGGGTCGGAGGGTGGGGGGTGTGGGAAGAGGAGGACTAATTTTTTTCTTACAAACATTTTTGATGATACAGTGGTTTGGTCTCGGGTTTCTTTATGATTCTGGGCTGGGCAAGCGGGTCGATTCATTTCTTTGGGTCCCATTCCTTTTCCTGGAATGCTGTGCTAGGTGCTGTGGATCCAGCCCTGAACTGTACATGGCCCCAACCCTCATGATGCTTTCAGTGTAGTGGGGGAGACAGATTCGTGCAGAGGTAATAGGGTAAATGATAACGTTTGATAGGGAAAGTCAGTATAAACCAGGTAAGTTTCTCCGCCTGTAAAATGAGAATATTAGACTAGTATCTGTCAATGCAGTTCTGCTTTTGTGTGTTTACATATTAGGTTTCCAAGTTTATTTGAAGAAATGATGAGGCCAAAAAGAATTTTTTAAAAACTGGACTTGGTGATCTCTAAAGACTCTTCCGGCACTGGCATTTTCTGATTAAAAGGGGTCAATTCCAGAGCCAGTACAGGCCACAATAATCAAATAAAGCAGTATTTAAGAGGAAAAGATCTTGAAGGTGAATTCAGATACAACACATTTATTTTGAATGTACTTTTGTACTTTTTTCAAAATCATAGTCTAGTATTTGCTATACCGTTTATAAATTAGACTTTACCATCACAAGATGAATGTGATTTGCTACTCTCTAGTGTATATCCCAATTGATTTAAAAAATGTAATAATCTGACATTTTTCTACTTTAATATGTTGATATAAACCTTTACTCCTCGCCCCACCCCACCCCCATTAAAATTAAACATGATGAAGAAACATCTGGATTTGTACAAGAGATATCTAAGTTATTTGGGAAAAGATTAGATATGCTTCTCCAAAGCAAATAAGGATTTCTTTAAATAGTTAGGAGAGTGGAAATATCTTAGGCTTTAAGTGTCAGGCAAATCTTGCTTCTAATCAGTCAGTTATAAGACCCAGAGCCAGTTAGTAGCTATGTCAGTTTCCTCCTTTGTACAAATGGCAATTTTGGCTGCCTGTTTAAACACACAATAGTTAAAACACATGAAAAAGCCCCAAGTAGATGATCTATCATATAGATATTATTTAATAAATGCTATTTTTTTCTTCTTTGTATATTTCATCTCCACGTCATTTTGTTTCCATGCATCTTTTCAGAAATACAGCTAATGTATTTAGCAAAATACAATAGTATATAGTTTGCTGTGTGTTTGTTTTAATGTTCTTCCTACACACTTTCAGCTTTTGAAAATGAAATAAAGTTATGTAACAAGGTGCCTGGCAGAGTTGGTGATCATTAGTAACTGAATTTCTAATTTTATGATACCGATACAGAGTAATAATTTTGCTGTTTGAATTCTGCATGGGGTCAGAATAGTGAGATTTCTGGTTATTCTAAGTTTTTAAGGAAACTTTTGAACCTTTGAAAAGCCTCCAGGTCCTTTCTTTAAACCATCCCAACTTCTCCACAAGGCATAAATGTACCATCTTCTCGGTTTTATAGGTGTGGATGGTAGAATATGGAAGTTGCAACTATGTATCTCATACACAGTTTCAGTGAGCTGGCATTAAAACAGATTTCCTGGCTCTTTAGCCATTCTATTTTTTTTTTTTTTTTTTTAGTGTCCTGGGATCCCTTGAATAAAGTGATATTAATAACAAACACTTATAAAGAACACTTATTGTATGGTAGGCCCTGTTCTAAGTGCTTCTATGTATATTAAGTTCTAATGACAACTAGTAGAGAGATAAACTATTTTTATCAGAGTCACATAACTAGTGACAGACTGGGATTTGAAATGAGGCAATATAACTTCAATGTTCTTAACCCTTATGCTATACTAGAAGTAGATTTATATGTAGTTCAACTTATTTAAGTTTTCAAAGCTTTTGTTTTATTTTTAGGTTAGCTAGATTTTCCAGGTAAGAAAAGCCTATTTAAACAATTATATTCTAATTATTTATTCTTTGAGTGCTTATTTTACTTAAAAAAAATCTTTTGGTTTTTATAGGCATAAGGGCTACTTGTTCTGAAATTATTTTGAGGCAAGAAATTTTAAAAGATGGTTTTCACAGGTGAGTTGCCCATTGACATACTTACATCAAAATACTGTTTCATATAACTTAGAGCAAAAACTTAATAATTGAAGAATGCATAAACTGAAAAATTTCCTTGCTTTCTTCAAGTTATAAATGACAGATTTAGTATGTATGGCTACTGTTTGAAAAAATCATTAAAATAAGTAGAGAAAAGAAAATGTTTATTATTTACCATGCATATATTATATGTGTATGTGTATATATATATATCTAGAAGTTACATATACAGTATTTCACTTAGCCTTCACAATGGTTGTGAGACAAATGATACCTTTCTTGTTTTTCAGATGAGTGTACTAGGGCTCAGAGAATTTATTTTATTTATTTGTTTGTTTGTTTGTTTATAGATTTACTTTGGTGACATTGGTTAACTTAATCCAATAAGTTTCAAGTGTACAATTCAGCAGTAAATCATCTATATTTTGTGTTGTATGTTCATCGCCTATAGTTAGATTTCTTTCTGTCACAACATATTTGACCTCTTTTACCCCATCTAACTCTCCCTACCCCCAATCCTCTGGTAACCACTAGCCTGTTGCCCATGTACATGAGTCTCTATTTGTCATGTTTGTTTGTTGTTTTTAGATTTATATCCCACATATAAGTGATATCCTGTGGTTTTCAACATTTTCTGTCCGGCTTATTTCGCTTAGCATGATTATCTCAAGATCCATCTATGTTGTTGCAAATGGCGGTATTTCATCTCTTCTTATAGCTGAGTAATATTCCATTGTATTTATGTATCACATCTTTATTCAGTCATCTGTTGTAGGACACTTCGGTTGATTCCATATCTTGAAAAATTTAAATTTAGTAGAGGTTAGGGTGGTAGAGCTCTGACTTAAATTTATGACTCTCATACTCCAAAGCCATGTTCTCAAGTATTAAATATTATACCACCCTAAATCACTATTTCTGATTTACAAAACTTGGTTCCAAATGACCAAGCTGTTTCTAAACAGGAATTATCCTCAACGATGAATATTTGCCAGTACTGAAAGTATTTAAAAGACTGGTAAAAAGTTGTGGAAACTGTTCCATAAGAAAACTTCCCAAACTTTAAAACTTCTCAAGTGATTAATTGGTCATAATTCTCAGATATTTGATTTATAAATTCTGATACATTTATTTATTTATTTATTTATTTATTTATTTATTTAATTTATTTTAATTAGTTTCAAGTATACAGTACTTTGGTTAGACATATATATAGTTCGTAAAACGATCTCCCCAATCGTTCCCTCCCTCTCCTGACCCTCCACCTAGCCAACATATTAATGCTTACTGCATTTTCCGTGCTGTCCCGATGACCATCCATCAGCTAATTTGTCCTTCTTTTACACTTCATCTCATTCTACCCGCGA